TCAAAAAGAAGGTATCGACTATAAAGAAACCTTCTCTCCGATCTTTTCAAAGGAGTCTTTTAGAATTATCTTACATCAAATAGATGTAAAAACAACGTTTCTCGATGGTGACATTGATGAGACGATTTATATGGTGCAACCAAAAAATTTTGTATCAGGAGATCCAAAAAATATGGTTTGCAAATTTAAAAAATCTATTTATGGGCTCAAATAAGTATCTCGGCAATGGTATTTCAAAATTTATCAAGTGATCATCTTATTTGATTTTGAGACGAAATTAGTAGATAATTGTATATACCATAAGTTCTGTGGGAGCAAGCATATTTTTCTGGTATTATATGTTAATGACATTTTGCTTGCCAACAACGATGTAGGTCTGTTGCATGAAACCAAGAGATTTTTAACTAAAAATTTTGAGATGAAAGATCTTGGTAATTATTCTTTTGTGTTAGACATACAGATACACCGGGATCGTTTTTGAGATATTTTGAAACTATCACAAAAGGGTTATATCAAAAAAGTTCTTAAAAGATATGACATACAAAATTGTAAATCAGGTGACACCCCTGTGGCTAAAGGAGACAAGTTCAGTCTTGAACAGTATCCTAAAAATGCTTTTGATAAAAAAAAAGATGCAAAAATTCCTTATGCGTCAGCAGTAGAGAGTTTGATATATGCTAAAGTTTGTACGCGTTCGGATATTGCGTACAGTATTGGGATGCTAGGCAATATTTAAGTAATTTTGGATTAGATCATTGGAAAACAACCAAACGGATCTTGCGGTATTTACAGAAAATAAAAGACTACATGCTCACGTATCAGAGATCAGATAAGTTCGAGATCATTGAATATATTAATTCCGATTATACTGGATGCCAAGATACTATGAAATCAACATCAAGTTATGCTGGCCTAATCAGCAACATCCCTCAGATCCCGGCTCGATGGAACTAACCGCCCAACCCGTGACACCCAGGGGTGCAGCCTCTCATGCTGGGCGAGCGTGGTATGGTGTTTTGCGCTGCCATTGCAGTTAAGAAAATAAAGTTGCGCCTTCGCTAACAGCTATAGCTTTTGGTGCAATGGTAAGCGCTTGATCCTGACAAGTGGTATCAGAGCGAGGTCGCGGGTTCGAGTCTCCCTGGCTGTTGGTGGGGGAGGGATTGTTGGCCTAATCAGCAACATCCCTCAGATCCAGGCTCGACGGGACTAACCGCCCAACCCGTGGCACCCAGGGGTGCAATCCCTCATGCTGGCCGAGCGTGGTACGATACTTTGCGCTGCCATTGTGGTTAAGAAAATAAAGTTGCGTCTTCGCTAACAGCTAGCTTTTGGTGCAATGGTAAGCTCTTGATCCTGACAAGTTATATCTATTTGTTGGCTGGAGGTGTTATATCTTGGAAGAGTACTAAACAGTTTCTTATAACATCTTCTACTATGGCCGCACAGTTTATAATTTGTTATGAGGCGTCTTACCATGGAATTTGACTGCGAAATTTTGTCACAGAATTACGTGTAGTAGATAGTATAGAAAAATCACTCAAATTATTTTGTGACAATAAGTCAGCAGTCCTATATTTTAACAACAACAGAAGCTCGACAAAAAGCTAGACATATAGATATCAAATTCCTGACTGTTAAAAAAAGAGTATAGAATGGACAGTTATCGATAGAGTATATCAAGACAAACTCTATGGTTTACTAAGGGATTGCCAATCAAAATATTTCATGAGCATACTGCTCGTATGGATGTCATGTTATTAAATGATATACAGTTTTAGTGAAAGTTTGTTATTTTAAATGTTCTTATGATATTTTTTAGTTATTAATGATTTAAAAATATTTTATGCATAGATAAAGTTTGGATTTATTCATACTTTAACTTTGGTATGACTTGATCTCATGAAAATTTAAGATAGACTAGTTGGAAACAGGCATGTTATGATCACATTATATGAAATTTTCATACTATACATCCAAATCATGATTCATGTCATTCAATTATATCAATATATGTGACCGAATTACGAAATTACGAAATTGTATCCACACCCACATCGAGTTATGAAATTGTAACAAAGGCCACTTTGATTCTATATTGGTATGTTTGATGAACCGAATTGACTACAAATACATTTCGATAATTACAGTTAGTTGAGCTCATACAGTTAATTGCAAAGTATAATTATAAAGTTATACATATAATCCAAGTGGGAGATTGTTAGATCGTTAATCCAATGTTGGATTTATATGTGAATGATTATATATTGCAGACTGTCAAATAAGGTTAAGTCCAATTAATATGATCAAATATGGTTTGGATTTTATGTATCTAATTAGGTGAGGTTCTTTAATGTGTAGAGATTTAAAGGTATTTTCTATTTCTATGATGGGTTGAAATAGGAATCCAAAAAGTAACAGAAATGTTATCTATAAATGGGTTATGATGCCCAAGTTACATGTGTTCTTATTGTCGTATTTTCTAGTACCACAAATAGTCTTTTCTTGATATCCCCTCGTCAGAAAAGATACCAGAGAGAAATTAAGGGTTCTTTCAAAAATTAGCAAATACGTGTTGACCTGGAAAGCCACTCCAATTTGTTAATATGAATCCAGGTATGATTCCGTAATTTTACTGTTAATTTATTTCTTAATAATTGTCATATAGATTTTGGGTTTAATAGGTGATAATTTTCACCAAAGATTAACTATAAACAACCACCCTAACAAATCACACCCATTTTCTCCCTGATGCATTGGAGTGCAGCCCTTTGAATCACATCTATTATCTGTCTTTCTAAGTATGATTACTGTTTAAAGCGTGTAGTTTATTGCCCTTTTCAGTCTTGGTAGGTTTTTTCCCGACACCTGCAATTTCTGCAATATCAGAACAGAGCTAAGAAATCAAGGATCTTAAAATCGCACATTAGACTAAGCACGTCAAGGTGGTCAAACATAATACCGTATAGAACAAGGTTTCCCTGTGCAAGTGTTTCCCACGAGATTTTGCACTGCTTATTTGTGATTGAAATGGCAATGCAAGAGAGAAAAACTGAATGCTGCAGCAACGCTGTTTAAAGATTTTATACAGACAAAGATATTTGTTTTTGACTTTAATATAATATAAGCCGATTTTTGTTGAGGTTAATAATCCAAAAGCTTGACTGTACAAATATTTCGGTGAAAATGTCACTACTACATCCAAGATCCTAAAGCCAAAACTTTTAGGAATTCGACATCTAGAAATAAATAAACAGAAAAAGAAGTAAAGACATCATGAAGGAAATGATTAATTAATTATGGTTTAAATTTTTGCCTAATCCCGAAGAGATAAAAGGTTGTAATAAGCATCAGAAAAATTGGAAACACGTAACTGTTACATCATGAGGCATTTTGTCTTAGAATTTAACAATGATTGTACATGTAGATATAGTTTATAAAATTGCTGCAAACAAGATCGACAAAAGATTTAATTCAATACGATAAAAATTATAAATGAGTTTACGTATAGGCTTATATTCAAAGTTTAGTGGATAAGGACGATTTCTGTTAACGTAAAAAAGTGTTCATAATGATACATGCTTTGTTAAAGCCATAGGCTAGATCATACAACTACTGAGATGGACAGAGTTATTAGCTATTGATATCTATGTATTTTTCTTTTTTTATTTGTCAAAATACATTAGAACTCTTTGCTGGGCTTCTTTTTCTACTTGATGTGTTTATCTCCTTCTTTGTTGTGGAGATGATGTATTCAGATATAGATATTTGTTTTTGCCTTTAAAACAGCGTAACTTGACTTTTGGTCAGAATAATAATCCAAAATCTTGAGTGACACATAAGTTTTAGTGTATCATTTGACAGACATAAAAGGAAATTCCCTGTCACATTTAGGATCCTGAAGCCTAAATTTTTCGAGTATGATAAATATTTCTTGAGTTTTAGATTGGCTATAGTAGTAAAGTAAACTGGTATCTGGGTTGGGGGTTGGTGGAATCTGAATCTCAAGAAGATTTGTATAGCTTCTTTCTCTCTTATCTGCTGGTTTGTTTTGAGCCATAGTGGTGTCTCTCTCTCCTTGCCTTGATGACATCAAGAAAAGTGAGCGGTTGATCAAAGTTGTCATTGATCAAAGTGTTCGGTCCCCACTCTTTGTCGTGTATTCTTGATATTTGGTAATAAATGGGGTCATGGGACCTAATTTAAAAAGAAAAAAATGCTCTGTGATTACCTCATGATTTTTGGTATGTTTTATACTTTTTTTTGTAAATTTATAAATCAATATCCACATGTTGTTCGGGCCCTCTTTTCTTATTCATCTCCTTTTCAATTTTTTTTTTTTGCCCATTCTCCCTTCCTCTGAAAGAACTGGGGGCTCCGGGTGAAGGAAAAAATGGGCCTCCGGGGAAAGAAAAATTATTAAGAGCAAGCTGTCAGAGATGGTGTGAAATTGACTTCTTCTTCTATCAAATGTTATGATTTATGTGTGTATTCTGTGCACAGAATTGTTAAGGTGGGATTTTCAATATTAATTTTAAGTTTTTTACTTTGAGCTAGAAATTCTTAAGGTGGGATTTTCAATATTAATCTGCTGAAAGTCAGTAGGATTTATATTCCTTTGCCTTTATTGATGCAGAAGATGCTTGAATATGATCCAGCTAAGAGAATATATACCAAAGCTGCTCTTCAACTAGGGATGTGCAAAGTCGAAAAATTTCGATTTCGAGACCGATTTCGAATTGAATTTGAAATTTCGAATTCGGAATTTCGGTGATTCGGAGTTGAATTCGGTAATTCCGATTTCGAATTGGTTAAAATCAGGTCGAATTCGAAAATATAATTTTTGAAATCGATAATTTCGAATTGGAGAATTCGAAATAGGAATTCGAATTCAGAAATTTGTTTTCGATTTCGAATAATAATATTTATATATAATATAATAGTTTTTAACAATACATATATAATATATATTATATAACATAATAACAATATACATGATATATCTAACAATTGAAATTGCAAAAACCCTAATCTGTTAACACTTTTGTACTCTTCTGCCGTCTCTTCCTCATCGTCTCTCCCCTTCCTTCCTCCGCCTCCACCGCCTGACTCACTGTCTCACCTTCCTTCATCCGCCTCCGACTCACTGTGATTTCCTCCTCAGCTTCCTACTTCCTCAGTTTCACCTTCATCTTCACGCCATTCAAGCCCGACAGAGACAGACATCATCAGCCTTCATCTTCAACTATTGTAGTGTAGTGTGGCGTCTCATTCCTCACCTGGGTGGTTGACGCTTTGAACCCATTGGATTGGTAATGCGGAATTGGATTCTTTAATTGCCGCATTTTCTCTGCCGTTTTATCAATCATTATCCATTTGCTGGATTGCAAATTAGTAAGCATTAATAATTATTATTATCATAATTTTACCCACAGGTAGAGATATCCTTCCAAGTTGTTGCTCTTGTCTCTCGTATTTTGTCCGCATTTACGTTTCTTTTCTTGGACGCTTGATGGAATTCTGCTGCAAGTCAGAGACAACATCTAGAATCTGCGCTAGCCATAGGAAATGATATGATGAGTGTATGACTGGCTTAGCAATTTGGGGTTAATTTTGTTTGGAATATGGTGGTTTGTCAGATTACTTGTTTTTTTTCCTCCCCTACTACTGGATTCATGCTTTATTATCTCCCCTGCTACTGGTTTTTCCATTTTTGAACAAGAAAGAAAAAAAAAAAAAGGAATTGGGTGAATTCGGAATTCACCGAATTCCGAATTCAATTCGGTATCGAATTCGAAATCGGAATTGACCATTTCGAAATCGAATTCGATTGGAAAAATTCAAGTCAAAATTTTGAAAAATTCCGATTTCAAACTTTCGATTTACCGATTTCGATTTCGATGCACAGCCCTATCTCCAACATCTTTGTTTATCACCTTGGAAGATTCTCCCAAAAGGTTGATTCTTTGACAATCAACTCACCATGATTTTAATTCATTAACATATAGGTTTGTTTGGATAGAGGATTATTTGCCAAAATTTATTTGCTTACATCACCATTACAATTTCCAACACACCTTTTTATCTTTCCAATTACCTTTTAATCTCACATACATCACATCACAAAAAGTGCTACAGTAAAAATATCTCAAATAATTTACAATCCAAACAGAGCAAGTCTACTGGGAAATGCCGTTGTTTTCAATTGGGTTGTGATTGCTGACGTGGCGTGCTGCTATTGGTTGATTGGTGGTCGTCCGCCCGTGCGAATTTCCAATTGATGGTCGTTCGTTCTCACGCGTGAATTCTTTTATTTGCTTGCCCAGGCGTTTAGCAATCCTTTTGTTTCCTTTTGTACGGGTCTTTGACCACCGGGTAAACTAGCAAGGGAGAGGTCTCCCTCAATTCCTCAATTCTTGGCTTTTGCAACAAAGCTGTTGGCTGAAGAGTGGCAGAGCTGGTCAATCCACATCAATCAACTCAATCCATCAATCCGTTGTACCAGAAGCTTCTTTCTCATGGTCTCTCCTCTTCTTCTCTCTTGAGTTTTCATCTTCCTCTCAAATCCACCGTTTTTCCATTTTTGTTATGTATACATTTTTCCCCTCTTGATTAAATTTTCTCTCATTCTCTGATAAGTTTCATATTTTTTGTCACAGGATGAGAGGTCAGACTATCAACTAAACCATGAAGAAATGTGGAAATTGCTCTCTAAAGGTGAACACTTTCTCTGTGATTTTCTTTTTGCTTTTTTTGTACATTTTCTCCAGATTTTTTCCCTTATATCTCCGTAATAAATCTTTTCTAACCAAGGTATCTGTTGGATAAATAAGATAGGATAAAAGGATGCAATCTTTCTGTGTTCGATGGCCGTTTTCTTTCCCGAGATTTGTTATCAACAGATGTGATTTTCTTAGATCTTCAAAAAATCACGTCTAATTATTTTTCTTTTGTGATATTGCGATGTTGCATGTATGAAATTTGGAGATTTTCTCCATCGTCGTCATGCTATTTTGTAAGTTTTTTCCCCCTTTTGAAGTCCATTTTCCTCTCTTATCCTTCGTTTTCTCTGATCGACAACAACAAAACCAAAGACCTGGTTGGGATTTTTTGTTTCAGTTCAAAATCTCCTTCGTTTTCTGTTTTTTTTTGTCATTTTTCTGATATTTCTATTTTCTTGGCTAAAAGCAGCAAATCTCTTTTTCCCCATCTCCTTCGTGTCCTTTTGTGAAACAATGAGGAAGGGGAAGGTCAATATTTCATCTCCACTATCTGATGTGAATTTCTAGAATGCATATATGGTACTTTTCTTCCCCTTTCATCTCAGTTTCATTTCTGTTTTATCATTGATTTTTAATTTTTAATTAGAAGAAAAACTTTTAATATCGTATGAGATGATGAATAATTGAAGATTAGCTAGCTTTTAGATATTTATTTACTTAATTGTTTATACCTCTTTGGTGTTTTGTTCTTCCATTTTTGCCTTTCTTGGAGGAAAAATGGCCACCCATGAAAAACAACTGGTAAGGGAAAACATAAGTTTTGTTGTATCATTCTGATTTAATTTTTTTCCCTTCCACTCCCAGTTTAGGATTTGATGGACGATGTTTTTTTTTCTCTCTTTTTTTTGTTCTTTTGGTGTTACTTTTCTGAGTATATTATTGGTTGTTGTTGCAGGAAGGAATATGAAGATTTGAAGTTGACATCTCGAAGAAGTAGTTAAAGCTGGTAATATTTATTTGTGTTATACTATTTATTATACTATAAACCATAGTCTTTTTCTATAAACAGTTTCTCTCACCTAATTTAGCCTATTTTTGTTTATTGAGACTTTTGTCAGAGAAAGGATAAAGGTAAAAGTGATTGGAAGAATGAGCAACTTTCTTCCAGTGTTTTGTGTTTTAGGTTTTATTGTGTTTGTCAAAGTAAATTAGATACAAGTATCTTTTTCTTCTCTATCTTCATTTTTTCCCTTGGCTGGTGAACATGATGAATTTGTTATTTAAACTACTTGGTATTCTTGGTAATGTCAAGATTTGGGAAGCTGTATAATGAAATCTTTATTTCATAGTCGATTTTTCTGATTTTGTGGTTTTGACTTGCAGAGTGAAATCATTATTATGACTGACTTCCTTGAAGATGTTTTCATCAGTTCATGATTCATGAGATACATAGTTATATGAATTAGATAAATGTAGTTTCAAAAGCAAAATCCATGTTATCTACTGTGAAGATACCATCTTTCCTCTTTTAAATTACTAAAGAAACTTGGCAAGATCTTTGGCTGGAAAAAATATGTTCAGAAAATAGTATCCTTGTGCTTCACAACTTTGACCTTTGATGTTGGACCCAATTTTACATTTTTAGAAAAAAGAAAAATTGGAAATAATGCATAGAAACTTCTCTAGAATTTGCTTCCACATATATATACAATATTTTGTTCCCTTTGGGGAAATTTCATCGGTGACATTATTTTATTGTTTGATTTATGTTGGTAAGACTTGTTTTTATGCTCTCTCAATAGATTTCTCCTCTTGTTTCTGTTGTCGCCATTTTTTTTGTGAAATCTTCTTTCTTCTAAGCAACTTTAAAGGTTCTTTTCTTTATATGAATATGTTATTATTAGGGTACATCTAATCCTGATCCTACTTTTGTAGCAGGAAATGACCATACTTTGGGTTTTGTTACTAGTGGATCTGCTCTATTGCATGGTGCTACTCAGACAAGTGCCTCACCCTGGTCTTCAGCATCAATGATATTTCCTCCAACCCTAGGCATGCCTTTAAATGCTGAATGGAATGGGTATCAGATAGTTTGTTTCTGACATCACTTCTCTATTGTACACTGCATTTGTCTTCATGATGACATTTATTGTACGATTCATGTGTTGAATGTTCATCTGATGTTCAAATTGTGGGTGGCATTTGACAGATGGTGTTATCTTTGCTTGCTGAATACCGTATATGAATTTCATCTGATACATTTGAAAATCTGTCACTGTTTCCAATTTGTGCTTGTCAATGTGTAAGGTTTAACGTATGAGGTTATAGTGTAGTGAACAAGTGCTTTCTTAGTTATAATTGAGATGAAGAAACTAATTCTTATCTTTTTGTGCCACGGTAGACTATCTTTTTACTCACCTTTACTGTGATAAAGATCTTCAGAGGCTGTGTTTCTTTTTTTTCAAGACTTTGAAGTTAATTGAAGTTAATAATGATTGTTGTACTCTGCATCTCTTTTAAAAATTGACAATAGGCTTGCTTTGCTATTTCATAGGTAATTTTCTTTTATACGTATTTCATAGGTATTTTGTAGGTAATTTTCTTTTATTTTTTTTGGATTTGGATTAATATCGTTTGATTAAAGTCTGAAATGTCATTATTGCTTTGCTAAGCATACTATCTATAGAACTTATTCAATGCTTGGCTTAAAACCTCAGGCTGTTAACAGTTGAAGTAGTTAATTTCAAACCATGTGAAATGTGTGAAGTATGTCCCAATTAACGATGATTAACAAACTAATGCTGACTGTGACAATCAGGGAATAGTGAACTTGATGAATCTGCTTTGAAACCTATGTTCTTAATAATATTGAGATTAGCAAAACTTTATGACCAACGTTGGACTAATTTTGAGATTTTACAAAAAATGAAAAATTGGAGAGCAACTCATAGAAACTTTTTTGTTATTTTCCTTCCCTATATATTTAGAGTTTTGTGTTCCATTTTAGGGATTTTTAATAGTCACATGTGCTTGTGTCTTCTTTCTATGGGAATAGAATAGATATCAAAAGTTTGATTAAATAAGTTGTTGCAAAAACTCAACAATCCATGTAAACCCTGTGAATATTCAATAGGAGCAACCCTGAAACATAATTGAATACCAATTTTTTAGATGAATATTGCCTTCACTATTTTTCTTTACACCTGAAAATTTTTATAGATTCTTGATGCTAGAGTAATATGAACTTTATTGGGAATAAAAGCTGAATTACATGACATTATTTAGAGTTGCATATATTTTGGCTTTTGGATTGGAGTATGTCATTAGAATATAAAGATATCGTCTCTGGAGAAGTTTCTGCTTCATTTTTACATTTTAGGATCTTCTTGGCCTATTTGTTTGCATGATTTTATTTCCTTTTTCACCTTATCTTCCATTGGCATTTTGTGTAAATTGCACAGCTGCATGATCAAGTTGTGGAAAAGTTTACTTGCATACCATCTCCAAGGATCTGGCACATCTAATAGTTTCACTTTGGTGAGAACTCGAGTTACCAAGCAAGACACTTTAGGTTACCTATAAGAATTTTTTCATTTCTTGACTTTGGCAACTACTGTACCAAAAAAAAAAAGAAAAAAGAAAAGTTTCTTGCTTGTGAAATGGGTTAAAAATTACAAGGGGTAACAATTTTTTATGAGAGTATTAGTAACCAAAAGTGCAAATGCTTGTTGAATTTGTCCTGTACTTGTTGGCATTATTCAAGTCCCTTGATTTATTTTTAACTTGGTTTTACAGCAGTAAACTAATTTCGATGGATTATATCTTACTTTCTTTTTTGTTATAATACATGGCAGGTTCTTCAGCAGTTTCTTTCGAAATTGCTCATTACACTTCTGGGGTGAGTACGAACTACAGAAAGTTTTTGTTTTTGGTTAAGTTAAAATATGTATTTATCGGAATCATGGAAGTTCAAGTTCATGTTTCGAGATTCTACAAGACTAATTTTATTGTTTTATCTATATATTATGAATTCCTTGACTATGAACAATCTATATTTATTGTGTATATTATTGTACTTTTCAATGACATAGTTTCCCATTTTTTGATCCTTAGTTGCGTTGCAGGCATTTTGTAAACAAGGCATAACTGGGCACATAAATTTTAAAACTGTCCACCGCGCATTTGCGCGGTGATCTCCTCCTAGTAATCTATAAATCAAGGAAACTGTCATCATCTGGGGATTGAAATGTCAAGTCAGATCGACAACTACTGCTCTATCTTTAGTTCTCATTCTTTTTCCGTTATTTCAGATTGTTTAAGCAAGTGTTTGGAATCAGTATATGCTATCACCAGAACATGTTAATTATTGTTAAATCACTGTCACCCTTTTTCTTATTCTCGAATCCTCTCTTCTTGTTTTGTGCGTCGGCAATTTCAAGTTGTCTGGACTCCCTCACGGGACGCGTGAGCCTGATTTCAAATAAAGCGATCGTTTTCAATTTGGAATTCCAATTGGTGTTGAATTGAGCTGCCCAATTATTTTGACTAGGCCATTTATTTTGACTGGATTTTGTTATTTATTAATTTAGAGTAATTGCTTTGAATTCTTTCCAATTGGAATTGCAATTACTCTTGAATTCAGTGGTGCACTTTGAGCGACGCAATTATTTTGACCGGGACATTTATTTTGATTAGGGCGGCAATTCTTGACATGACTCGAAAATACGACTTGAATTTAAAATAAAAATAATGGGTATAAATTTAGTCTTTACGAATTCGGGTCAAAATCAAGTCAAACTTGAATAATCAGCCAAGTAAACAGGTCCAAATTAGATCAAGCACAAGTTGATCCATTAACCCATTTAATGTTTAAGTTTATAATTTCATAAATAAATTGGAGGCATAATGTAAATAAAAAGAAAACCACCCAAGGTTATAATTTAGTATTACGAGAATAGAATCATGAATATTATGCGAAAACAAGATATTTTATCCATGAAGGTGTCATAGTTTTATTTTTGTTCATGATTTTTTTTTCTTAAAAAAAGAAAAATAAAAAATTACTACAAGCACCATACACGAATTCTAGGATTAGGCTACAATTTTCTATATACTTATAGAAACTTCATTATACAAAAGTCCAACATACTACCAACGTGAGAAGGCCCAAAAAAAAAAAAATGTTAAACTACTTTCTGATTCAGTGACAGGGATTATTAGAGGATTTTTTATTGAGTTGAACTACTTTCTTTGAGCTCTCACTTGGACCTGTTTTTCTTTGCGTCTTATTTTGGTCCTAATTTCCTACCTTAATATGCTTTAGATTACCTTAACGTACATTATGAAATTTAGTATGAGCAAAGAATTAAAGTTTAGAATTGCCACTTGAATTTAATTAAGGAAAATTAGCAAAATTTGTCATGTTTCTACTATTGGAAGGGGTTGGGGGATAAAAAATTGGAAATCCTAGAAACGGCTTGAACGAGGTGAAAGCTATGGCGGTTATAATTATCATTAATCAAGTCCAATTTTTATTTTTAGAATGATAATACACTTGATGGTTATTTTAGTTAATATGAATTAAGTCGATAATATTTTAAAGATGGGTAATCTTTCGTTATTTGACACATAAAATATCTAACTATATAAAAGCGGGAGTTGGGTTATGAACAGTGTAATTTTGGTCAAGCGGTTATCACGTAATTTTGGGCAACTTTGAGGGCAATTGTCAAGCGTCATTTTGGTCTCTTGTCATATGGCTGGCTCTGGCTTTAGGAAGATTCGGTTAAGCGTCAGAATTGCCGATGCTATTTCATTGATTCTCTTTTGCTGGAAAAAGACAACAATTATTAAGATGGCTCTTGGCATTATATTTCAATAAAAAGGTCTGGCTCTGGCTGAGGCTTGTTAGCTGTATTATTGTGCTATGTGGGCTACAGGGGCTAGGACTTGCCAAAGAGAGCTGTACCTGTACGCTCTCTATTGTAAGTAATTCTGCAGGCCTTGTTTTAGAGCTCTGTCGTATGCCCTTTTATCTTCTCCAATATCAACCCACCTCGGCCGCCTCACCAAGAAAACCAGAAAAAAAGAAAAAAAAAGAAGAAAATCTCTCTCAGGCTCTCCAATATATATATATATATATATATATATATATATATATATATATATATATATATATAAAGGGAGAATTGGATAATGAATAGCTCCATTTTGGTCAAGCGATTATGCTGTAATTCTTGAGCCAGAGGGAAAAAATAACAAGTCCAATATTGTCATCATATAAGTACGCAAAATCGATTAAGATGCCATAGGTTTCAACTAAAAATGGTTTCTAATTCTATAGATTTTTCAAACGTACAATTAGAAGGATATATATTAGTCTATATATACATATTTAGTCTATATAATTATTGGAAAAATTTTAATTCCCTTATTTTTATTATTATACTTTTCATTCTATATATATACATTCTATAAACATGAGCTTACTTTTGTCTTCTATGTGTGCTACATTATGAGTCTATTTCCTTTTAAAAGAATAATTAGTTTGTTATTTTACTAATATATCCATGTTTAGTGTATATATAATTATTATAAAAAATTTTAACATATTTGTTTTCTCTAATGGCTCTAAATTGCTGTAAATTGAAAAGCGATATTGTGTGCTAATCTTTTTATATTATTTATTTAAACATGTAACATTAATTAGACTATTTCTTACATTTGAAAATTAAAGTACTCTAAATTTGAAAAATAATGTAATAATACATGTCTTTTACTGTGGATTAATGATCTAATATTAATGGAAAAAGAAATAGGCCTATATTTATTGAACTTAGTGAGTAATAGAGATATACATATCTAACAATATAAAGGAAAAGTTGCCCTATACACAGTGATTTTTTTTGTCAAGCGGTTATCCTGCAATTGTTATTGGATGTTAGGACTATTTTCATCAATTATTTGTTTGTTTTTTAACAGCTGCTATAGTTTTGGTATATTTATCGGACATGTTGATTGAATTCATAATTGGTGGTATAAAAAGTGAAACTTATGAAAGTTGATTTTTTGTGGTTAATTATTTGCTTTTGAAGTGTTCTGGAAATGCAAAATTACCAAGGAAATAATTGATAAATTGTTGTTGGCTTTAGTGACTTTAAAAATGGCTTTTATTACTGTGACATGAAATAAAATTGATAAATGTTCTGTAAATGCACAATTATTGAGGAAATAATTAATAAATTATTGTTGGGTTGACATAGAATAAAATTGTTAAGTGTTCTATAAATGCACAATTATTGAGGAAACAATTAATAAACTATTGTTGGCTTTAGTAACTTTAAAAAATGGGTTTTATTACTGTGACATGTGATGATTAATTTTTAACAATGTCAAGTTCTATGGTTCAAGTGTTTAATTGATTTTCAGGATCCCCTATTTTTTGTGTCAATAATGATTAATACTCTTTGGGAATGATTTACTTTACAATTTTCTAATTGTCCTGATCCAAATGCAAAATAACCTTATACAATTTTCTAATTTATCCTTATGCATTCTATATAGTATTGTTCTCATGCATTCTATATATTTCATAATAGTTAACTTTTAACAAAAATTATAATTCCCTAATGATCCGCATGAATTAAATAATAACAGAGATATATACTAATAAACTCATACAACAAAAAACAATTAACACGGAAAATATTAGTCCTCCTGCGCAACGCACAGGCCGTCTCACTAGTATTTAGTTAATGGATGTCTATCAAAACTTAGTGAAGCTGATAACTTGAACAGTTAATATTATTGCATCTTGTGCAAACACTGCTACAGTCGTGAACAGTGCCTATGAACAATACTCTGTGAACAGAATCCGAAATTTTTTTTTTTTTTTTTTTGCTTTTGACGACTCGACACAAGGTTACGACTTCACTTGAAAGAAATTTAATGGGAGTTAAACCCTTGAAAAACCTGTTTTCAAGAGCATAATCACACCAAAAAATTTTAACCTCAATCAATCAAGGGATAGGTTAGACTCAACTGATAAAATTAAGAAAACAAGAATCAAATTTTTTTTTCTTTTAAATCAAAAGGCGGCTAGGGTTTTGGAAGAAACATAAATAGAAAAAAACAAAAAAGAAAAGGATATTAACCTGATCAAGAGCCGAAACTCTGATACCAGATGATACGAACTCGACCCAACAAGAACCTGTCTTGAAGAACCGAATCGATCAGGCAACGGAAGGATCTATCTTGATTAGGTTATGGAATAATAACTACCTCGCTAGATCTAAAGAGAACCCGTCTCTAGAAACCTAGTGAATTGGTTATTGGTTTGAAAAAAACAAGATGATGTGATCATCTTGCCTTGAACACCACAAGTATCCAAGCTAAATACTTGATACAGTTCAAGAAGAAACTCAAGTTCCATCAAGAAACTCCATAAAAGGAGACAACTCTCTTTTTATTAATTCATCTTCAACATCATATATTGAATAGTTAAATAAGGTTGGCTATTTATAGCCTTACAAGACTCTGAAACCTAATCTAAGTTGGAAATAATACAAGTTTCCTTATTTGACTTGGCTTCTAAACTTGACACAACTTCCTAAATAAATTTGGAAGCAATTAACTACTTTCCTAAAACTCTAATTCAACTAGAATAGGAAACTAACTAACTCAAATTAGCTTAACTATGGTCAACATGACCTTAGCCTTTATTTCCTAATTCAAACAACTTACTTAACTCTCAATTTAACTCTAATTAACAACTAACATTGCTGAAAACTCAATTAAATAAATGATAACAAGAAATAAGCATGACACGGGGTTGGATCTTCAATAATTCTCAAGCCCGATTGCACCATCAACCATCATTGGAATGTGAAGACTTGTAAAATGAATTTTCTTGGACTTGAAAGGAATCCAAATCTTCATGTTCTCATCACTAGGGTGCAATTGAGACTAGTGGTCACATATTACCATGAATTTTATTGAGAAACTTCCCTTGTCCAGTGGATTTGATACTATTTTAGCTGTAATTTGATCGACTAACTAAATTTGGTCATTTCATTCCTATGACACATCCTTTTTCTGCTAAACATGTAGCAAAGAAATTGTTGAAGGAGATACATAGACTACATGGATTACCAGAATCCATAGTGATAGACAGGGATAAGATTTTTACTAACGTATTCTGAAAAGAACTCTTTAAACTACTTGTCACTTAATTGTACTACAGTATAGCCTTCCATCGTCGAGTGAAAGGTTCAATCAATACCTTGAGGCGTACCTGAAATGTATGACAAGACAAAGACCGCATAAATGGAGCAAATGGATTGCATTAGCCGAATGCCGGTACAACACAAACTATCATAACAGTTTGAAAATGATCCCTTTCCAAGCCTTGTATAGATATGAGCCTCTAC